AACAGGAATCTTGTTTATTTTGGTCAAAACAACATCCCTAGCACCTAGAAAGTGGGTGGCACATGCTAAGGGCTCAGGTATCGAATGGTTATTGACTAATGGATGAGTGTATATGTTTACTCTGGACCCATATGAATAAGGTCTCGGTTTCTCACACAGAATCATACTGTTGCTTAATTCAAATCATATTACTCCTATTTGCTTCTCTTTGCTCTCCCAGACTCACCACTATCATGAAATGATAAGATGTTTTGGGTTTTGTTTGTTTGTTTGTTTTTCGAGACAGTCTTACTCTGTCACCCTGGGTGTCAGGCATCATGGCTCACAGCAACTTCAAATTCCTGGGCTCAAGAGATCTTCTTACCTCAGCCTCCCAAGTAGCTGGGACCGCAGGCACCTGCCACAACTCCTGGCTATTTTTTCTATTTTAAGTAGAGACAGGGTCTTGCTGTTGCTCAGGCTGGTCCTGCGTTTAGGCGATCCACCCAGCTTAGCCTTCCAGAGTGCTAGGATCACAGGTGTGAGTCACCACACCTGGTATGTTTGTTTGTTTTTTTCTTAATGCTTTCCAGTTTTCCCTTCAAACAAATATTTTAAGTCTATGTTATTAATAATGATTCCCAATATCTTTCTGCTTAGTAAGTTTAAAAGTTTTCAATTTTCGAAGTCACGTGTATCTATTTTTGTGTGTATCTGTTGAATGTAGGCACTATTTTGTAGCTTAAAATAGGCACTGTCTCAAGCTTACAAGAATCATCTAAAATGGTATCTAATGACATTCCTAGGACTTCAGACAATATTATTAATATTATTCTTGTAGACTGCCATCACTAGATCCTGAGGATTTAACTAGATCTTAGTTGATGAAACTGAACTTTGTTGAATCCTTTCCACTGTACTCTCCTACATTTCAACTTATCACTTATTTTTGTCCTCAAACTTAAGTCTTTTAAACAGAAGTAAATTAAATATATATGTGTGTGTGTGTGTATATATATATATATATATATTTTTTTTTTTTTTTGAGACAGAGTCTTACTTTGTTGGTCTCAGTAGAGTGCTACAGTATCATAGCTCACAGCAACCTCAAACTCTTGGGCTCAAGAGATCCTCTTGCCTCAGTCTCCCAGTAGTTGGGACTACAGGTGCCAACCACAATGCCTGGCTTTTTTTAGAGATGGGGGTTTAACTGTAGCTTAGTTACTCCTGAGCTCAGGCAATCTGGTCACCTTGGCCTCCCAGAGTGCTAGGATTACAGATGTGAGCCACCGTGCCCAGCCCAAATAAAATATATTTTAATCACCCCTGTGTACCTGCTTTTTGAATTCACCGTTTCTTCCTGTTGAATTAAAAGGATAAAACTTCCTCTGGTCCTTTTTTTTTTTTTTTTTTTTGCAGTTTTTTTGGCCAGGGCTGGGTTTGAACCTGCCACCTCTGATTATATGGGGCCAGCACCCTACTCCTTGGAGTCACAGGTGCCGCCCCCTCTGGTCCTTTTTTGTGGTCTCTTATGTGGTTATAGGGTTTTGTAAATGTTCACACTTTTTGCAATTGCATATAATTTTCTTCTTAATTTTTTTAAAACTCTTCCCCCCATTTTTTTTTTTTTTTTTTTTGCTATTTTCTTTAACTACCTGAGGGAAATATCACTAGCCCCATCTTCCACTTTTGTGATACACCTATTTATACTTGAACTCTATGGTTTTTTTCTCAAATTTCTTTTCAACGTTGAAGAAAGACATTACTTGGGTTTTGTTAGGTACATTGAGCTTTTCCGAAGTGTAGATTTCTCTGTGTGTATGTGTGTATATAATTCTCCCTTTCCCAGAATAGTTCCCCAAGCACAAGTCTATTAAAATGGAGAAAGACAGAGGTCAAGAGAGCTCTTCCTAGACCCCTCATCTACTGACATGTCTCTGCAGTCACACAGGTCCTTTCTGTCTCCTTGTTTTTGTATCTGCCCAAAGCTCATTGATCCCTGCTCTGGACTGTATCCACTTCTGCCTTCTTGGGGGACCTTATGTCATAAATTCTCTCTTCTCTAATTTCAAAAATTTGTTTTCTTCATTGGCTTTTACCCTTCACATGCAAGTATCCTCACTTTAACCATGTTTCCCTTTAACTACTACCATATCTCTCTTCTCAGCCAAATATTGGAAAAAACAGCCCCCAGTTTCTGTCTTCTCTTTCTTACCCTCAGGTCACTTTTTTTTTCATTGCCTGACATCCAGTTTGCTCACATACATCCCCAGGTGTTGAATGGCAGAGCCAATGGCATGTGTAGCTTTCCTGTCCGCCTGACAACATTTGACTCTGCTCCTTAGGGTATTGTGTACTGAGTCCCTATTGGTCAGGCACGTGCTAGGTGCTGCTGTTATAGACATGAGAAACAGATGTCAAGCTATTCTTGATTAATACTCAGATCTCTTTGCTCAATACCCATTGTTTATTTCTGCAGACCTCACTTAATGCTGCATAATCTATTCTCCAACTCTCTTTTCTCCCAACCCTCCTTATTATAGACAACTTCTCATGGCAATCAGTTCTATACCTATGGCTTCAATTACTGTCTTGTGCTCTGAGGACAACACAATTTAAATGCTGTTTTCATTTAATATCTTTATTTTCCATGAGACTTCATTTCTTAAACCATAGATTCAAAGTTCTCTGTGAAAGTAATCACTTTAAAAATGTGATATTCTTAGCATGTAAATTTAAGGAAAATTTCCCAATTACTCTTAATCATTTGATTTAGTGTGTATGTTATTTTTAAAAACATAAGTTAGGACGTTACAAAATAGACTTTACAGAAGTTTATATCCAACGTTCAACCAGAGCTACATTTCAATGTGTCTCTTAGAGACAAAAACTATCTTCTTCCCCAAACCTATTAATCTTCCTACATTCTCTGTCTAAGAGCAAGGCACTGCTATCCATCCAGACCCCCCAACCAAAGCCTTAGCAGCCCTTTTGTCCTCCTACTTCCACTCTTTTCCCACATCTAGTCACCAAGCACTTCCTACTCCATCTTCCAAGTGACTACAGATCCTTTCTGTCCCCCGTAGTTACTGCCTTTGCCGTCAGTGTGAATACTCACTCTTTCCCTAGAGAAACATGATGTCTCTTAATTGGTCCTGTTGCTTCCTTCAGTCCTTCCTTATTGTTCAACCTCACTGCAAATACATCGGACAGTGACCCTTCAACTTGGCATGGTTCAATGGCTCTCATGTTCCCAGGATAAAATTCAAATTCTAATTTGATAAAATTCAAAGCATCTAATTTGGGGTATAATGGACCTGAGTTTGTAACCCAAATCCAAGCACTATTCAGCAGAGAGGCTTCCGAGTCTCTAAGCCTTTGTTTTCTAATTTGCTTGAACTCACTGAGGGTTGAGACTGTCTCATACATACAGTGCCTGGCACACAGAAGAGACATAATTGATGTTAAATGAAGGGAAGGCATTTTAAAATCCACATAAAGGCTCGGCGCCTGTGGCTCAAGTGGTTAAGGCGCCAGCCATGTACAACGAAGGTGGCGGGTTCGAATCCAGCCCAAGCCCGCCAAACAACAATGACAGCTGCAACCAAAAAATAGCCGGGCGTTGTGGCGGGCGCCTGTGGTCCCAGCTACTTGGGAGGCGGAGGCAGGAGA